AATTTAAGCCTGATATCTTATTTAGTGTGTTAAAATGTCCCAGGGTATTGTTACAACTGTACAAGTAATTGGGAGAAGTGTAAAAAACTGCTTGTCTTCAACAATTCAACCATTTTTGGTAGACAGATAAAGGCATCTCTTGAAAAAAATCCCATGTTTATTTTGGTCAGTGTTTGTGTACAAAAAGGAAAAATATATTACAACTGTACTCAGTTGGCCCAATATTATCTCCTGCATTTTTCTGCACTTCACATCTGCTCTAGCTTGTGTATGACTCTGCTTTACACTAGAAACTTGGCATTGTACTGCTTGCTCTTATGATAAACCGCTTGCGACGCTACTCATAGAAAAGTTACTTTGGATAAAAGCATGTCATGAATAAATGCAAATGTTATCACTACAATTTATGGTCACGCTTTATTTTAAGGTTCAATTCTTTCCATTAAAAAAACATTAACTAAGACTTTTGCTTCAATAAACTCCTAATTTGCTGCTTATTAATAGTTAGTAAGGTAGTTAAGTTTCAGTTTAGGATGTAGAATATGGTCATGCAGAATATAAACAGCCAATGTGTTAAAGGGGTCATATGATGCGATTTAAATTTCTCCTTTCTCTTTGAAGTGTTACAAGCTCTTTCTGCATAAAGAAGATCTGTAAAGTTGCAAAGTCTAAAGTCTCAAATCCAAAGAGATATTCTTTATAAAAGTTAAGAGTCAGCCACGCCTACCTAAAATGCCTCGTTTAAAAACTTTATGATCCGTGCTGGTTGCTGAGGAAATACATCAACTTTGCGCTGTGGATCGCCGGATCGGCTTTCACCGTGGACGAAGCGGAGTCCAGCCCGGGGTCGTCACATGTGGTTGCCGCAAGCCCTCCGGACGCTCCTTTGTCGAATCCGCCAGTCGCACCGTTCTCAAGCCCACCGGCCTCTGCTCACTCTAGCCCTCCAGCTGTTCCTCAATCTAGCCCCCGGCCTCTGCTCACTCTAGCCCTCTGGCCTCTGCTTACTCTAGCCCTCTGGCCTCTGCTTACTCTAGCCCCCAGCCTCTGCTCACTCTAGCCCCCGGCCTCTGCTCACTCTAGCCCTCTGGCCTCTGCTTACTCTAGCCCCTCAGCCTCTGAGTAGACTACAATGCCGGCTGTTCTGACTCACAGACTGTAAATACATTTTTTATATTTAAAGGATTTGCCACTGATGATTCAAACATGAGTTTTTTGGGCAGTGTAGAGTAGGGCTTGTTGTTTGTCATTTCTCCGATCACAAATGCAGACATGGTTTTATGTTTACGCGGTGCGATACGCAACACAACGCGTAAAAAGACAGTATAAGTCATTATAATCAGTAACTATGTCCCCACTGGATGCAACAAATGCCTCGTTTATGGGTTTGAATGTTTTTGTCTCGTCGCTCCGGCCAGACAGGACATCACAGTATGGTTAGGGCGTAACATTTCCGTCACATGTTTGAGGTATTCGGCCAATCACAACGCACTGGATAGCTGGCCAGTCACAGCACACCTCGCTTTTCAGAATGATGAGCTTTGTAAAAATCGACACGTTTCAGAAAGGCGGGGCATAGAGGAGAAACAACAATATGTGGAAAATAATGTGTTTTTAACCTTAAACCACATAAACACATTGCATTACACCAAATACACCAAATAATGTTTTTTTAGCAACATCATATGACTCCTTTAATAACAGGCATGCTAATAAGGAACTAGTTAATAGTGAGAACTAGTTCATAAACTAAAGTGTTACCCTTGTTATCTTACTTTATTATTTATGACTATTTTGTTATTTAAATATATTAGGATAATTCTTGTAAACAGGGTGTATTTTATGCTCTACTTTGGCTTTCTGCTCTGTCAGAGTGTGTTTGCCTCACGTAAGTGACAAAAATTTTGGTGAAGCTCTTGACTGGTCTGTTCAATTTACAGCATTTCATCCACATGACAAGTTTTAGCATGAATCTTGTATGACAAATACAGATATTCCCCTTTCACAAGCAGACAAAATACATGTTTATTGTCACTTTTATTTCTTTCTTTTTTTTGTATCTCCATTTTTAATATCTTCTTTTCACCCATTTTTTTAACAAAATATTTTTCTGCAGATTATTAAACAGAACTGTTCAAAATAATTTGTTTTTAACAAATCAGACAGCATTATTACACAGTACAGCTAGGTTAGCAATGAGCACAGACATGAACTTGAATAAATGATTTCTTGACAAAACAACATATTTAAATTATTTTAAAATGGATTATATTGTATCATTCTGGCACAACAACTGGGTCCCTCTTTTGTGAATAGATATACTGTGTAATCAACAAAATTACATTTGGATATATAATAAACTAAATGTGATCCTGGACCACAAAACCTTCTTAAGTCTTAAGTAACATAGCTATATTTTGTAGCAATAGCCAAAAATACATTGTATGGGTCAAAATTATCATTTTTTCTTTTACGCCAAAAATCATTAGGATATTAAGTAAAGATCATGTTCCTTGAAGATATTTTGTTAATTTCCTGCCATAAATATATCAAAACTTAATGTTTGATTAGTAATATGCATTGCTAAGAACTTCATTTGGACAACTTTAAAGATGATTTTCTCAATATTTAGATTTTTTTGCAACCTCAGATTCCAGATTTTAAAATAGTTGTATCTCGGCCAAATATTGTCCTATCCTAACAAACCATACATCAATGGAAAGAGTATTTATTCAGCTTTCAGATGATGTATAAATCTCAATTTCAAAAAGTTGACCCTTATGGCTGGTTTTGTGGTCCAGGGTCACAAATCACATCCGCTCGGAAAATACATGGTAACAAAATGAGCGTCACCAATGTTATAAACTGACAGTGTTAAATTCACTGATTTCCAGAGAGCATAGCTAATTTATTTCATATTAAGCTTGATAACTGTTCAACTGATCAATGCATTTGTTGAAATCTACTCTGTATTCTGTATAAACTTTCTTTTCTTTGACAGTTACTCGTGGGACTATGAGTACCTGCAAAACAATAGACAGAGCCAGGCTGCGTTTCTCAAAAGCATCGTAAGCTAAGTTGATCATAGATCGTAGACCTATTGCCACCAGTGGTCTCTATGTAGGGTTACGATGCTTTTTTGGGGACACGCAGCCCTGGAGTTTATGACCTTGGCATACCCATTCATTAGGACCTCTGTATTTTTAACATGCTCATTATTTTAGTCCAGATAATTACTGCTTGTTGGTTATTGTAGTGCATTCTTTGATGTCTTTATTTGTATTATTTTAAAGGGATACTGTTCGAAACAATAAGGTTGTCATTTTAAAATTCAGGCTTATAATAAACGGCTTTTAGTGAAGACTGAAAATCAACACACAGATTATAGACTACGAATATTTTCTGTTTATTCATACATTTTACATAACAATCGTGCTTTTTTTGTATGACACCATTTAAATAGCCTACATGTCCTATGTTATAATTTTAGGCAGTGTAACAGTTAAAAATATACGAAACAATATTATTTCTTATGAGACATAAATTCTATTTGTTTTATAATCCTTTTTATAATCCTCTTCACTCATAATTTCCATTAGATATGTGCTTCAGAGATCAAAATATTATTGCAGAAAACAGCAATTGTTTTTCAAATGTCAACATTTAGACAAAAACGCAATGGAGTACAGACATTCACGGTTACATGTTTTACACAATACAATTTTACAATAAAGCTCCAGATAAAACTACAGTAAAATAACTTTGTACAAAATTCAAAGGACATAGCCATTTCACATTTTATGTAGGTACGTGTCTCCTCTTAGTAAACATGTTTAACGTGTCCAAATGCTTTTCACATGTAGCTGCCTTTGACGCAAACTGTCACCGCATCATTGCCCTAGCGTTGGAGAAGTCTGTACTTTTGGGGAAGAAAGGGACAAAACACCCTCATGTATTTTAGTTTGTGCTACTTACTTAAAATATGGTATAACTATCATACCACAGAGATATTTTGTATACTTTTTCAAAAAAGTATGGCACAATCAAGTAGTGTAAACCGTTGTTATGGAGTGGCCAGTTTGTGTGCGTTCCTGTTTTGTTTTAGCACTGCACATATTCAACATTTTGGCACATGAAGTAACTAATGGTCATGCAAATCACGACTACATTAATCACAGGCTTAAGGAGCTGATATGCACTCAGGCTCAGAGACAATCTGAGATTTTTTTCCCTAGTTTTTTTTCTTTATTTTTTTGGATATTCCTGAGGGGACATGTAAACGGAACACTGAATTGACAGCACTCTTCAATAATCTGTATAATAATCAGCAAAAATGTTCACCCTGTGTTTTGTGGTGTTTTCGTTTTCTGTATTTTTGGACCCTGTGCTTTACAAGCTACACACTGGCAGGCATAGATTCGTTTTTGCTCAAGTCTATGATTTTGGTCATTGGTCTCAACATTAAAGTACAAAGCATTCTAAAAATAATTCTAAAAATGTTTTAATCACACAAGTATTTCTTTCTTTTTTTATCTCAGAAAAGAAAAACAAAATAGTAACAGTCTCTCTCAACACAAATATTCAACAACACGTAACGGGTCACCCAAGGGCTCTATCTACCGATTAGAAATAATTTGTGCTTCAGACACAGGGCTTGCTTGATACATCTTGGTTTTCCCAAATGACCCAGAATGTAACATAATCTTGCCCAGTTTCTCATTGATACTCCCGCTTTGTCCCCAGTGCAACATAGAAACAGTACATACCTCACATAAATAGCTTATGCATTGCCAAACAATGCACTGTCCTTAAATCTAACTCACAGTATAGCCTTAGTAGAGACAAATTCACATAATACATAGTACAAGTCATTTAACATCAACACTCTTTGCTTCACATTTGGAAAGCTTACAGAATTTGTGTGTAAGTTTTTCAAATCCAAGTGTTTTGTGCTTTAAAAAAAAAAAATAAATAAATAAATATATATATATATATATATATATATATATATATTTATTTTTTACTTTTGCTTACTTTTAGCTTGATTATGTATGACCCCTGGAGGTAGATGATTCTATTACTGTATAAACATGGAAGTCTTCTGTGTTGTTAATCTTTGATTGCTCTCTGCTGGGGTTCAATTATACTGGTTTTAGACATTGGCATCATTGCCAGGGTTAGTTGAAGAAGAACTATCTGCCTGCGGCTGCGGTGGTTGTTTTGGTTGCTGTGGTGCTTGGTCTGGTTGCTGTGGTGATTGTAGTTGCTGTGGTGATTGTGGTTGCTGCGATGATTGTGGTTGCTGCGGTGATTGTGGCTGCTGTGGTGATTGTGGTTGCTGTGGTGCTTGGTCTGGTTGCTGTGGTGATTGTGGTTGCTGTGGTAATTGTGGTTGCTGTGGTGCTTGGTCTGGTTGCTGCGGTGATTGTGGTTGCTGTGGTGATTGCTCCGGCTGCAGCTGCTGTTGGTCTGGCCCATTCTCCTGAGTACGCTTGACTGCTGGAGGCTGCAGCATTATCCTGATCCGCTGAAATGAGGCCCAGAACCAGCACCAGTGAGCACAGACACACCATACCATTAATTATTGTATTTAATTTCAGCTCTAAATGAAAACAGTTACCTCCTTATATGTGCCCTTCAGGGTGAGGAACATGTAGCCCATATAGCCAGGTATGAGAACCATAGAGGACAGAGCCATGAGCCAGCCCACTCCTTGACCCCATTTAGGGAATACATAGTTGTTCATTGTAAGAGGAACCATTTGCACCGCGCTGAAGAGGAACACGCCCTGTAGAGAAGCTCTGTTTACAAATACTGCAGTTTTCACATAATTACACCATTATGATTCTTACTGCTGAAGACTTAAAGACTATAGAAACATTCTTAAGTATGTCTTATCATAGTCGAAGAATGGGATGCCAAAAAATGAGTATATGGGACAAATTAAAGTGTAAAAACACTGGGATCAAATATGGTAGTTTGAGATTAAGGGGGCAAAATCATAGCAAAATCAGTGCAATGGGCCCAGAATTCCTAGCGACGCCACTGCTATCAGATGAGAACACAATTTGAACTGAATTGAGCTTGATAATAAAATTAACATTGCAACACTGTCAATGGTTATCAAACTGAACTGAATCAACATTATGATGTTGTGATATGAGATGTGAGATGGCGCCAACGGTGATGGCTGCCTCCGTGGTGTGCTCTGCAGTTGTTTTTATGTTTTTGTTAGTTTGTCCTGTCTTTAGTTATATCCCTGCAATCAGTTTCACCAGAGACAAATTGCTGGACATTCGGCAGTACACACCACCCAATATTTCACCGGTTTTCGATTATTCTGATGTTTTGCTGGACATTGTAGTCGGGGAAGCAGTGGTGCTGTTCAGACGCTTCAGGACGCGCAGACGGGGGAAGCGAGCCGGCGCGCTCGTGAAGCTCAGGCAGCGCGGATTCAGGACGCCGTTGCCTAGCATCCATCTGGCGAACCTCCGCTCTCTACCCAACAAAATGGACAAACTCCTTCTGCTCTCCCGGACAAATAAGGATTTTTCAAACTCTGCTGCT